TTAATGGAATGGGCTTACTACAAGATACAACTTGGCAGTAATGGGAATCAGCGAAACCCAATGGACACAAGCTGGACAACAAAGGCTAAATACGGGAGAGATGTTGCTATACTCCGGTCACGAAGAGGAAAATGCTCCACACACTCAGGGTGCTGCTCTAATGCTGTCCAAAGTAGCACGAAATGAACTTGTCGGATGGGAATCTCACGGATCCAGAAACATCAAAGCATCATTCAAAACAAAGAAGGAGGTGATCACAATGAACATTATCCAATGTTATACATCCACTAATGATAGCAACGACAACGTTAAAGATCAATTCTATGAGAGGCTGCAATCAATCATAGAGAAGTGCTCAAGAAAAGACCTCACCATTCTGCTGGGAAATCTAAACGCGAAAGCCGGAATTGACAACACCGGATATGAAGATATCATGGGACTACATGGACTGGGAGAGAGAAACGAAAACTGGGAAAGATTTGTAAATCTGTGTGCATTCAACAGATTGGTCATAGGCGGCACAATATTTCCACACAAACGTATACACAAAGCTACATGGACCTCACCGGACCACTCCATAGAGAACCAGATAGATCATATTTGCATCAATAAAAGGTTCCAAAGGACAATGGAAGATGTGAGAACGAGGAGAGGAGCGGACATAGCTTCAGATCACCACCCGATTGTGGCCAATTTAAAACTGAAGCTAAAGAAGAACTGGACAACTGGACAAACAGCGCTGCAAAGGTTCAATACAGCCTTCCTTCGAGATACTGACAAACTCAATGAATTCAAGATAGCTCTCGACAACATATTTCAAGCCTTACAGGATCTGCTGAAGGAAGAAGAAACTACTATGGAGGATAACTGGAAAGGTATCAAAGAAGCATTAACTTCAACGTGTCAAGAGGTTCTTGGCCCCAAGAAGCATCATCACACGGAAGGGATTTCTATAGAAACACTGGACCGGATCAAAGAAAGGAAGAACAAGAAGACAGCAATTAACAATAGTCGAACACGAGCAGAGAAAGTCCAAGCACAAGCTGAGTACATAGAAGCAAACAAGCAAGTGAAGAAGAGCATTAGAGCCGACAAGCAGAAATACGTGGAATGGCCATCAGACAAATCACGAGCGGGAAAGCAGCAGGACCCGACAATATACCAGCTGTAGCACTGAAGTCAGACATCGAAGTAACTACGAACATGCTTCATCTTCTATTCAAGAAGATTTGGGAGGAGGAACAAGTGCCGATGGACTGGAAGGAGGGACACCTCATCAAGATTCCAAAGAAAGGAGATCTGAGCAAGTTTAAAAATTACACAGGCATTACGCTATTGTCAATACCAGGAAAAGTCTTTAACAGAGTGTTACTGAACAGGATGAAAGACACAGTAGACGCTCAACTTCGAGATCAACAAGCTGGATTCCGTAAGGACCGGTCGTGCACAGACCAAATTGCGACACTACGGATCATCGTCGAACAATCAATTGAGTGGAACTCATCACTGTACATCAACTTCATTGATTATGAAAAGGCATTTGACAGTGTAGATAGGAGAATGTTATGGAAAATTCTTCGACACTACGGAGTTCCTGAGAAGATTGTCAATATTATCGGGAACTCATACGACGGACTACAGTGTGAATTCGTGCATGGAGGACAGCTGACAGACGCATTCCAAGTGAGGACCGGAGTCAGACAAGGCTGTCTACTCTCTCCCTTCCTGTTTCTTCTGGTGGTCGACTGGATTATGAAGACCTCGACATCTGAGGGAAAACACGGCATACAATGGACAGCTCAGAACCAACTAGACGATTTAGACTTCGCAGGTGACATAGCCCTCCTATCCAATACACACGAACAAATGCAGACAAAGACAGCCAGCATAGCAGCAGTCTCTGCATCAATAGGCCTCAAAATACACAAAGGGAAAACCAAGGTCCTCAAATACAACACGGAGAACAGCAATCCAATCACTCTTGATGGCGAAACTCTGGAAGACGTGGAATCCTTCACATACCTGGGAAGCATCGTCGACAAACAAGGCGGTTCAGATGCAGACGTAAAGGCGAGGATTGGCAAAGCAAGGACAGCATTCCTTCAATTAAAGAACATATGGAACTCAAAACAACTTTCGACCAACATCAAGGTCAGAATCTTCAATACCAACGTCAAGGCAGTTCTACTGTACGGAGCTGAAACGTGGAGAACTACAACAACCACCATCAAGAAGGTACAAGTATTTATCAATAGCTGTCTACGCAAGATACTCAACATCCATTGGCCGGATACCATCAGCAACAGCCTTTTGTGGGAGAGAACCAACCAGCTTCCAGCTGAAGAGGAAATTAGGAAAAGACGATGGAAACGGACAGGATATACATCACGCAAAACATCAAACTGAACCACGAGACAGGAGCTAACTTGAAAACCTGAAGGGAAGCGGAAAAGAGAAAGGTCAAATATCACAATACGTCGGGAAATAGAAGCGAATATGAAAAGGATGAATAACAACTGGAAAGAGCTGGAAACGATCGCTCAGGACAGGGTTGGATGGAGAATGCTGGTGAGCGACCTATGCTTCTTCGCGAGGAGTAACAGGCGTAAGTAAGTAAGTAATTTCATTTTCTCTAGCAGTGTTCGAAAAAATATTTTACCCAACTTTTATAGCGTTCTGAAACTTGATACCTTTTTTCAAATATTTACTTTCTGTTTGGTATTTAGTTAAGTAAATTCATTTATGGTACAACTACTAACGTAAAATTGCAACGTATAAGAATGAATAACTGTTTGAAATTGAACTACGCATAGTAATAATGGTAATCCTATGGTGTATGCTTTTGACGTCAACAGATAATAAGTAGTGTGTATCATCAATCGGAAGTAAAATGTCTGGTGTTAGAAGATTAAAAAAATCAGTTATAAGAGATCGAGAACAAAGAAAGATTGCTGTGGGAATGAAAGAACAATGAAGTTTAAGAGAATTGGTTGATATTTTTCAAATGAAGTATTAACTGTATGGTTCACAGATTTTGCTAAGAGGTTCTGTAATTTTGTGTTTAAATACACTCGTTTGTCTCCACTTGTGTTCTCTTAAAAAACTAATGACGAATATGTGAAAAAATATTATTTGCCGTTAAGGTTTCTCATTTTTTATTACTATGAATCCATTCTAGACATGCCTAATCAGTAAACAAATCCACCACAATTTAACGATTGTACGTTAAACTTACTTACACCATTTTAGTCAATCATTTCATAACTTGAATTTATAATTTCTTATATTTTGTTCATTTATTAAAGTATGAGACTATTCAGCACTGCGCATCCACGATCTCGCTCCACGAGATTTGAACCCCGGATCTACCGGTCTGGCACACGTACGCTTAAACTCTAGATCATTTAGCCGGTTCCCAACGCTGCTAGTATCTAACTTCAACCAAACATATACTTCCAAAAGATTTCACTAATCATATTCTTATGTGGTTTTTCCAGTTTTATATTTCGATCTGTTCAATTAAGAACTTTTTAAATAAAATAAACATTTATCTATTAGAAGTATCTTTACAAATTTGTCTAAGAAAAAAACACCTTTTTCAAAACGTTTCGTTCCGGTACGTAACTCTACAGCAGTGCACATCCACGATCCCGTACACACGACTGAAACAAGAATTCCTCGTTCTTGCGTGAGAACGCTTATTATCTAGACCACTAATCTGATATCCAACAATGCTAACGTCTAACTTTAATCGATCCATGATCTTGCTCAACCCTTCATCTATTGTCTAAGGTGGATAACTATCCCATAATCGACAGGGATTGAACTCTACTAGTCACGGATTTTCACAAGAATTCTTAGTATTACCTCACATTTCGTTCTAATCACTTTATCATTAAGTCACCTTTAGTTCCATATTCAATCTACCTGATGATCTTTACACAAGCTAATATTAACATCAGAATTTGACATTCAATCCATAATAAAACACTTTAAATAACTCTGATATATTTAAGTTAATTTTAGTATTCTAAAATTAACTTATACATATTGTTCCCCTGTATATTGGATTTCTGTTAACCCAAAATTAATTTACTTCAATTGAGAATAAAATACTTATCATTCACCTTGATAAAGTACGAATCACTGGTTAGTAAAGACCTTATGTATATTGGATTATGTGTGGATAAATAGTTTTGATTAATTGGATTAAGTGAAGGAGAAAATTTAACTCATTAAAATGCGAAAAACAAATTGATCCAATAACTTTAAGAATATTATTGAAGAAGAAATAATTTTTTTTGGATTTTTAAGAGGTCTTTAGTTTATATCATATTTTCTATTCAATTGAATAATTAAATTGAATAATCTTTTATAATCGATAAAACTTGTTGATTGTTTGTGGAATATTATTTTGTATGTTGATAGTGATAACTAGCTAGTAATCGAATAAATATGATAAACAATTATTTTTTTCTAGTAATATTATCACAATGTCGTAATATTGTTGCGTGTGTTAATTTTGTCGACACATATAAGTAGTATGCATCACCAATCGAATGTGGAATACCTGGTGGTTGAGAAAGTCGAAGAGAAGAGAACGACAGTGATTAGTTTGGAAACGAAGAAATAACAAAGTCTGAGACATATGATGGATATTTTGAAAATGAAATGTTTACTATATGGTTCACAGATGTTACTAAGAGCTTCTGTAATTTTGTATTAAATACATTATGTTATCCCCATCTAGTGTTCTCGTTCACTACAATATAACCATTTAGTTTAATAAAATAATAACGAAAAATGTATGGTAAACCCACTATTGCGTTGTAATACTTAATTGCAAACAAAACACAATCATAAAACTCGATCATTTTTGGCATTAAAGTTCTAATGAATTAAATACTGTCATTATAAAAGTTTTTGAAAAAATGATTAGCAAATAAAAATTTATCCTAGTACATGATCTTTTCATTTTATCATATTAAATTTATACTTGCCTGAAATTACTACAAGGATGTATTACCCATTTTCCTTGTTGTACTTGACGTCGTTTCTCTTTAAGTAGTGCATTTTTACTTCCAAACAATTTCATCGCTAATTTATTATCGGACGGTTGAAAAAAAGCTTGAAATTGTTCCTTTAAATAACTTGATGTACTTTGTTTTAATGGATCTACAGTTGATTCATTTACATTACCATTAGCTAAAGCGGTAATAGCTGTTGTTGTCGGTGTTGTGGGTGTTGTATTGTTTTGTAGAATTATCATTGTAGAAGTATTAATACTCGACGTAAAAGTACTCTTATCAGCTAATGTTATAGGAGAGTTAGAAGCACCTACTCCTGTATTGATAAGCGTTTGTTCAACGCCAATATCATTTATGCATTCGGGATTACGTGTGCCACTTGAAGAAGAACGATAAAGAGTTGTTGCTGGAACCGGACGTGATTGCATAGAGTCCGATCCCAATTCTATAGAAGAGGAATCTAAAAGTTTGTATGCAGATGCATTGATATTATCCTGACTTAATGTTCCATGTGTATATTTTTTATTAATACATGGACAGTTTTCAGTTTTTGAGCTACTCGGTTGTTGTTTAGTCTGCTTTCTAAAATTAAATCGATCATTATTACTGAACGGGTGATGCTGTTCTACTGCAGTTGTGTTCATTCGTCTAACTGCATTCAAACGATTAGATCTTTTAGGCACAGAATGTACTACAACATTTGTTTCATTATTATTTGCTATATTTTTATTCAAAAGTAAGTCTCTTTCTTTAAAAGTGTCACTAGTCGTCATTTCATGAAATTTTCCTGAATGTATTGAATGCTCAGAATCTATTTGACTAAAATCACAAGAAGGCCAATTTTTTCTTGAAAATGCATCATCTGACATACTTTCACCATACATATCTACCGGAATCTCTAATATACTACTATCAAATTGTTGTGGAGTATTGTACACTTGTTCAAATGTATTTGTGAATTCATTTATTCTGTAAGGTTGTAGATATGGCTGGTTGGTAGCAGTATGATAATTTAAGGGTTGAGCAGATTGCTGGTGACTGCGTGATGCCGGATGGGATATTAATTTTTTATTATGAAGATGCTGTTGAAGATGACGATGTAATTTATTTTGACTACGATGTGAATGATTTTGTTGTTGCTGTTGTGAATGCTTTTCAGTTAGTGAACCTTCCGTATTGTCTGGGCTGTATACATCTTTTACCTCGGATATTGCTCGTCGTAAATTTGGACGAAATGTTTTATTAAATAATCCCCGTAAAGATGTATGATTATCATCATCAACATCAATACTTTTTGAAAAGGTGAAATGGACTCGGTTAGGTGTATGTGTAAGAAAATTACGTGAATTATTCCATCTTGTTTGTGGCGGCTGAATTTCTTGATTACTATCACAGTTTATACAGCCACTATTATCCTGAACTGATTTATTTACATTGCAATGTTCATTATTACTAACATAAGTGAATAATTCCTGTGAAGTAGTAATTAAAGGAGAATCAGTAGGAGTATTATTGTCGTTAATATCATCATCACTTTTATGTTTATTACTACTATAGTTTATTTGATTAGATGATAATGAATGTTTTGGATAAGTTAATTTTTCAGATTCCATTCCTTCATTTTGATTGGTTATTGTTGTAGTCGTGTGGGAATGTGGAATATATTTGGATGATTTTGATTGGTCAATACTACTTCTTGATTCAGATTTGATTAATTCATCAGATTTTGATAAATGAGGTTCAGAACCTAGGTTATTATAAGCAAATAAAGCAAAAAAACAAAATTCATTTGTATACGTATATATATATATATATATATATATATATATATATTCGTTGAGAAGAAATTTGATTACCTTTTACTTAAGAACATCAGGAATATTTGTTTCTGTTGTTCGAGTCACAAAGGGAAAATAAAAGGTTTAATAAATCCGAAATTCCGTAAAGTAATTTTCAAATTATGAAACATCATAGCAGCGAGTAAAATTAACACTGAATCGGATTATATTGTTAAGTCTCATGATGTATATTTTCTAACATAACATGGCCTGATATCTCAATGATTTAATTAAGCCTAATTGATTGTGGTCTCATCGTACCATATCCTAATAATAACTCGTGAGAAGACTGATAATAAGAATAAAATTTTTCGATCATCAGTAGTGAGTAACTTAATTTAATATGGATTTCAAATAAACTTTATTATAGGGTAATGTGATATGGACTACCTTAAAACAGGTAGCATTTAATGTATCTTCTGTTTCAAATACAAAGTTATGCGTAGATCGAACAAAAAGATATTTATCGATAGAAAAAAAATTCTGTTGGTGAAGTTGATAATCAACAAACATCAACTTGACAAAATAAAATCCGTTTAAATTATTTTTTGACAAAGACCTATTTAATAATTGTTATATTCCCATTTAATTGTTGTCGATTAAACGATTTAGATAAGAAAAAACTGCCGATAAAGGGTTATGAAAACTGCTGACTTTAGATTAATTTCACGAATGGATCAATGTTATGACACCATTGAAACCCTGAAAGCACTGGATGGCCATTTCATCCTAGCACGGTGCTTCTCAGCAGCGTGAACACACGATCTCGCATGCGGAATTCGAACAGGGGAGTTCGATCTCACACGCGAACTCCTACCATATAAACCACTGAACTAGTGTCAAACAGTGTTGATATCTAACTTCAACCAATCCACGATATTGGGCGGCCATCCACCATTGTCTTAAGTAAGTAACCACCTCACAAAAGACACGATTAAATTTCACTATTCACGGCTTCTCAATAGAACTCTGGTTAAGCGTTCGCGCGCGAGATCAGAGATCCTGGGTTTGAGTTCTGCAAGCGGAATCGTGGATGAGCACTGCTCAGGAGTACCATACTGGGACGAAACGGCCGTCCCGGTCCTACAGGTGTTCAATGATGGTTTAATATTGATCCAATCATGATATCAATCCAAAAATCTATAATATATTTCAATTATTTGTGATTAAAAGCAATAAAAGTTTCTACAATTTTTGATAGTTTTGCTGCAAATCTAATTTTAAACCTGACGGTAACCAAACTTGATTAAATACAAAAAGAAGGAAATTTCATTTCACTGTTGATAAGTAGATCAGTAAATAATTTCAAGTGATAGAGAAATTACCATTGAATGGATTTCCAATTCATCTTTTGAAAGCTAAATGAATACAAACCACGTTGCAAAAAAGCATTGACTGAACATAAGTCATTCAAAATATACTGGTCCTAACTTTTGAATAATAAATCATCAGAATAACGGTAAAAACCCAAGACATGAAGAAGCATTTGCTATTCGTTATCTTGAGCAAGACTAATGTGTACAGAAGAACATGAATCTCACTTGATGAGATGATGATAACTAATAACTTGCTCAGCTTTCCTATCTTTAATTTCTCAGCTTCTTTTCGTTAACTCCATCTTAGAATAATAATAAAATATATATTCTGAAAATAATAATTACAGAATTCACGCCAGTTTACAGGCACGATCAATTTGATATAAATAGTAACATCAGATGTAGAGAACAAACATGTGATATAAGGAAGTTTTAAATATACTAGTTCAGTAATTGTTTAGGTAGTACATGTATTAGAGCGATCCAATGAAATAGTCGGGAACTTTTAGTTTTTCTTAAATGGACAGCCTGTTGACTTATGAACGGTCTAATTAAGGTCATTTCCTGTGTCAGATCGAATTATTGATAATTACCTACAACTCGAGAAATTAAAATGAAAACAGAGAGCACGGAACAACAAAGCAGTAATTACCAAAATATGTCAATCAGGTCTATTAAAATGCATGTGTCATGTGACACAGTGATATGCTGTTGATGTTAGATATTATTCAAATTAAAGTTGTTAGGGTGGTGTTAACATAGAGTGACAGCAAGTAGGTGGTTTTACTTAGGGAATGCACTAATAAAGATGGCCAAACATTTAAAGTTCCTATAATATCAATTGTGGAATGAGATACACTGACAGGTGCTAGAACATTCAATGCATCTTCAGAGGAGCAGTATGCATCGATGCAGCGAACAAATAATAGGAGTGATTTTATCGTACGGATCGATTGTGGTAGGTTGTTCCGGAGTCTAGAAAATTTACAGGCAAAGTAATTCATGTAGAGAGATGATCTAGAATAAGTTTTGAACGCCATAAGATGCGAGTTTACCTATAAGAAGTTGGTGGCTAACCATGTCGAAGGCTTTAGAAATGTCCAGATTTAGCACAAAAACTAGATATCCTTCGCTACGTAGAGAATGGACTAAATTAAAGAAGTCAAAATGATGTGTCATACATGATCGATTTTTAAGAAACCCATGATGGGTATCATTGATAATTTTTTCAGCGAGTAAATAGTTGGAAAGTTCATCACTTATAATTCTTTCCGTAATCCTAGAGAAAACTGGAGTAATAATCGTCCGTCTTATCTCTAGATTTGTAACGTGGTATGATGTACGCGGTTTCCAGCAGTAAGGGTAAGAACCTGATTCCATAGTGAGAGTAAACAGCTTTAGAAAAAGAAGTGGAGTATTTGGACCACCATATTTGTAGAGAAAAGATGCATGTGAAGAAGATAGATTTTATTGAACTGCTAGTCACGCATATAAATCTCGAAGCAGAGCCATTTATGATTTGTACACCATTCGCAAAAACACCACTGAAAGGTCTTCTATAGTTTTAGAGTCTTATATAAAAGTGCTATTATGCAGGATGCAAGGTATATCAACATTTTGAGTTGCTTTAGAGCGTTTATTGAAAAGGAGAGTTAAGTTTTGTACCTTTGAGTTAGAATTAAGTGCTAGTGTCTCGTCATTAATGGCTTTTAACCTATGTTTCTCTTTAATTTGATTAAAAATTATTACTTGTGCAACTGTCATGAGGCCGTTTGACTTAAAATAACGTTTCTGTAGACGTCTTAGTTTATTACGATATATAGCTGGTATATACAATTCGTTTTTGATAAAGTGGATTAATTTGTTGAGCTTAACTTGGAGGACAGTTAAGATAGGCACCTGCTAGTTGGAGTTGGGTTGATGCTTAGTAACCTTGTAGTCCATCTTGCCCAATGGTAAAGTGTTTAGAAAAGTTACGTCCTACGGGTTTAGTATTTAGAACGTTTGAGGGTAACCGTGGGGCACGTTGGTTCACTGCGGTCTGTCTAATATTAGGCCTGCTTACACAATGATTGTAGTGGCCGTCTTGCGAGACGTTTGAATCAAGTGTGCCCTTATATACTCCCCTACGATGAGTAGGGTAAAGCATGGTGTCGGGAAGTATATTCTTATTTTTATTTGGTAGGGCCATCGTAGTATTTTTGTTATTGTGTCTGGAACCAGAAGGTTCTGTACATACATTCTTCTTACGTGTCATAGACTTTTTAATCTTGATAGTGTTTTTAAGAGCTGCCGCATTAGAACTAGCTATTTGGTTATGGGCTTTAATGGTAAACTGGAAAATATCGGATTAGTGTCGCCGTTAGATCTTTATTTCATTATAGTTTTTTCATTGATCATTTTTGCGCTGTTTTCATTCAATTTCTAATTAATGATTACGATGTCCAATCTTGTTATTTTAATAAAATATTTCACCCCTTGTTAATTTAAACTTCTAACTACTTTCATTTTCTTAGTAGTATTATTATCACACTTACTATAATTACTTCATTAATTTTTGTTGACTATTGCTTTTATCATTTTGACCACTGTAATCATAAAAACTTAGAAATGTCTATTACAGGTGATCGCGTCATGGTCTCTATCTAATTTTATCTGTTCCCTTATAAATTGAACTCGTATGAATATGGTAACTATTTATAATTATCTCTTTTCTATTGTAAACTAAAGTGAGATTCTTACATGCTGCAAGTGAGAAAACTATTATGTAACACATAACTTATTTGTACGAACTAGTGAGTAAGTGAATGATGGATGGACTAGATGCTGATCTACACAAAGAATGTTTTGAACTTATGTCAAAAATTATTTAAAATGAACATTCTGTTCAGCAAACATGAATTTGTATATATACGACCAATACATTCAAAACCTTATGATTATCCTTCGTTTTAATGGAATGAAAAGTGGTGAGATAGGTCCAATGAAGCATACATCAGTTGGGTTAAACTGAAGTCGAAAATTACTCAAAAAGAGTTTACGATAGAGGCTATTTCTTAAATATTTTACTTATATGAATACATCTACTCATTATTCTTGAAAGCACATCCATTCAGTCAACATATTTTGTAACTCACAATGATTTGGTGCCGAATCTATTGTTTGAAATTAAACAATTTAAATTTATTGCGTAACAATTCAATTTTTTCACCTACCCATTAAATAAATATAGATGTTATTAGAAGGGGTTTTGTGGAGATTGTAGTAATTTCAATGATTAAGATCATGAGTCAATTGAAGCTAGACCACCATGGAAGACCTAGAAGCACTGGAAGCACTGGTGGTCTAGCTTCAATTGACTCATGATCTTAATCATTGAAAATATAGATGTCATTAGTTGTACGACTTTTTGTTGCTTCATTCAGGCTACTTTAATATGTTAAGTAGTTTGTCTTTTAAATTCTAATAAATACTGATTCCGTTAGCAATATAGGGGGAAATTATGAAGTATAATTGATAATGTAGAAGTAAAATGTTCATTTTAACAATCTGACATAAAAACATAAAAACAGACTACTTCGTGAAATGAAATGATGTATAAAAACATTATAAACACCACATTTTATTCCTTATGATCAAATTCTAAACTACATTTTTTGACTAGTGATGTAAGCAAGCAATATTAATAAGGGGTATTATTTACGTTTACTTGTTATGTAACGCAGCATCTATGATCTATGTTCAAGTGTTCAACTCAGAGGAACTGAAGAGAATAGCGAAGTGAACTTGACAAGTAATGTTTGCATCTGTACCACTGCAAATATTGAATGTCACATCATGTATCCATAAAAAATTACAATGCTAAAATTGGATAAATGGAAATTCTATTGAAAAACACATGCGTTAATTAATGACTTTCTGGTTATTTACTTTTTGGTTAATATGTGAGGTGATAAAATCTATATCTGTTTGCGTACTTAAACCAAATATCATTTGATTTTTCTCAGCTCCTAAAATCATTTGGCATGGAAATGAACTAGTTATTCCGGTCCATTTAACTGATTTGAACCGTTAAATGTAATATCTATTGATTAGTTAATATGATATAGATAGATAGAATGGAATAAGGAGTTCAGGTTTACTAATTAATTATTAGTTGCCATGGGACAGCTAATTGTATTCCATCTCTCTTATTAATACTGTTTGAATTAGCCCATATATGTAGGGCTTCGGCTGTTAGTCGTTCTTTGTAAGAATTAAAGCCTTTTTGAATGATTCGTGCGCCATGAAATTAAATGTAATGATTGTAATGCAACGTATGCAGGTGAAACATCAAGGTTATTGAATGTGAGGGTGAAGGAACACAAACTGTGCTTGAAGCACATTCCTAAATCCTCAGATGATGTGAAAAATCTTTAGAAAAAAGCAGCAATAGCATTACACTCGATTAAATCAGGTCATACAGTTGATTTTATTGGCGCACGAATCATTCAAAAAGGCTTTAATTCTTACAAAGAACGACTAACAGCCGAAGCCCTACATATATGGGCTAATTCAAACAGTATTAATAAGAGAGATGGAATACAATTAGCTGTCCCATGGCAACTAATAATTAATTAGTAAACCTGAACTCCTTATTCCATTCTATCTATCTATATCATATTAACTAATCAATAGATAATACATTTAATGGTTCAAATCAGTTATCGTATCTGAATATGTTAAACAATTGACGGGAACACTAAACTCAAACTTTCAATTACAAATACATTCCTCTTTGAATTCAGTCTGTTATCTTGTTTACTTATCTTGTTTATTTATCTTCATTTAATGCATGCTGTGACATTTCGATTCATATCATATATAAAATGATGTGTTTTCTTAATATACACAAACCGAAGATAACATATATTTGAATGAAATTTCTTCACACATCACTTACGTAGACACACAATCTGTTATCTTAACACTTCATTTTTCACAACACAAGTCTCTTACACACTTATGTAAATACCTACTTCAAACAGGGTTCACGTTGATTGGATGTTTTATTCAGTATACAGTAAACCAGAGAACCTTGTACCTATTTATATTCGATAATTTTGTTGTTTGATTATATTTTCCTTGAAAAAGCTTAGACCAGATTGCCAGGCGAAACGTTGGATTTACTTAAAATTCATTCGCTGAGATTTTACAAATACATTCTTCCTCTTTAATGTCTCACATTAACTCGGCGCCCAAATATTGTGAAACTATTCGTTCAAATTTAGACGAAAGTTCTTAGCTACAAGTTTTATTAAATATTTTGTTAGGAGACAATCAAGTTTCAGTGTAAAATCAACTCAATTACAGTTCCATCCAGAATTTAGGTCCAGAATAACAGGAAAATTGAATATTATATTCGATTACTGGCTACCTATAAACTGCATACCAATGTCCTTCTTCAAGGAAAGATAGTAACTTGAAAATAACCAGAAACCATGAAGTTCCAAACACAATTGTAGTGATGAGGACTGCTGAATAGAACGAACGAGTTGTTCTTAGGTGGCTCCTTCTTTGGTATTAGCCTGTAATGAGTGATTTCACGAATCACTATATTTAAGAGCAAAATATTTACTCAAAAATTTACTTATTAAATTGTTTCCAATTTATATGTGGGAGTACAAAAATAATTTAAGAATTATTGTCCAGTTGACTTTATTTTCTAGAGAAAAAAATCTATGTAAATACTGATAACTATAATTCGTTTACATTGGATGCTATGTTGTTCATTGTAGCTTTGATTGACAACGCAAACACGATAGCAGCTTATATCACCATATATGTATTCATGGTTAATTTTTTTTAGATGAATATTAAAAAAAATACTTTTATTTAGAATACTAATCTTGAAATTTACCACTTCACATAGATTCAAATTGATTTGTATATTTGCTTAGGTACGATACATGTATCCAATAAATGATAAAATCATACATTGAATGTAGTACGTCCTGTCAATTTATTTAGTTTTCTACGTTTCTTTGGACTTTATAATATTGTTTCTGGATATTTATTCATTGTTTCATCCATTCAATATAATCAGTGACAGTTATAAATCTTATATACTAATTATATTAAGATATAAATCTAACAAACAAATCTCTTTTCTATATTTAAGTTTGTCGAAAGTGACATATTCACATTCTTGGATGTAAATAACGTTTATATTCGCCCTGTAAAATGCTAGCATTTTACTCTCTTTGCAATTTCAAAATTTATTCTCATGAAACAAAGACTCTACCTGTACGGTAACAAAAGTATGTTAAAGTAAGTGAAGAAACTAAAACGAAAGTTATGAAAGGTTAGTTTTTGTAAAGTAGATACGGTTGTGAATAACTGTGGAAACCAGAATGTTCGTTTCATCATGTTACTTATCTGTTAGATAAATGTTATCACAACGGAGTTTTGATGATAATTTAAATATTTAAGCCTAGTATTTTTACTTAAAACGCCTAATGATTTATCTATTGAGCTTTTAATTACAGAAGGCCACTCACTTTTATAACGAACATGATATTTATTTTATTATTAGAAACCAATTGAATTATTACGTAGTTGACGATCTTAACTGAATTTTGACTAGTTCCTGTTCCCAAATATTCTATAAAAATTTATGAAAAATTGACTTCTTCATGTAAATTTGCACAGATTGCATATATGACAAATGAGGTTTTTCAAAATCTAGTCAACATTATTAACTAAGGACTGTTCAAATTCCTTCTAATTATAATATGAATGTGGGTTTCTGTTCTAAATGTATTACATACATTTCCTAAATGGTCTTTCATTATATTTAAATATATATTTTGAAAGTGAACTGAAGTAAATAATGTTTGATATCAGAAGCATTTTGTGGATATTATAGTAATTTCAATAGTTGAGATGGCCGTTCACTGCTGAGGAACTCTATACTAGGACGAAACAGCCGTTCAGTGAATTCAGTTTTTGCATGGTGGTCTAACTTTAATTAACTCATTATCTCAACTATTGAAATAATTAATACATTTTTATCTATATATTTTCAAATGACTTGATAATTTTTCAATTGTTCAATAATAACTGTGTGTAATTGAACACAATAGTTAAGTCGACCTTATTCCATTTTGCTAACACCAAATATATCCCTTTAAAATCTCAAAAACTTCTTTTCAGCAAAATCTGAAATTAGAATAAATTTTTCAAATCCTTATGTACAATTGGAATATTTACAATTTGCTATGGACTCTTTTGATTATTATGAAAATAGTTAATTACTCAGATGAATTGTCAATTGACTGACTTGAAAACTAGTAAATTTTGTTTATGATGAAGTGTGATTTAGAAAACTGTCTCCATACTTTAAATAACTAAGAAGTAATTTTAACATTTACTACATAATATCCATTAACATGGTAAGCAATGAGTAGACAGGAGGAAAGTATGTTTGTTGTGTTGAATATACAAAATATTTACATAATACATATAGATAGCTTTCAGTCGACTATTTGAATCGTTTGATGTTTTCTGTTACCAGAACAAACTTTTCATTTGGTATTCAAGCGCTCTACCAATGCCGTGCTTTTGATGCAATTAAATTCTTCATCCCGTTTGACAGTTCTTACAACTTCAATTCCACATCCCGTTACATACTACTTACAAACGATTCTGTAAGTAGCGTCCACTACAGCAGTTTGTTTTGGAGTATTGTGACCACTAGAAAACATTATACACTATTTCAAATAAATAACAATTTTAACTAAACGGACCTAAGTTTTTCACATAGAAAGCTACTCACTATCAAATTACTTACTTTGTTTGCAAATATTTTTGTTTCCACCACTGTCAATTTGCTCAGATAAATTTATTAAATCACCAAGACTTCTGTCATGTTCTATGTTTGATGAATGTCTGTGGTTATCTCCAACTTCTTCATTTGTAATCATATAGAATGACGGGTTAGCGCGACGACGCCAATGTTGTCTAGCTTTTGACATTTATCCGCTATTTCATTAATTAATTATCAGTGACAATCATAGGTTGAAAAATACTAAAAACATAGTTGTTTAGCCAAATAACAAGTTCAGTTACTTATTTCTCCTAAAAAAGAATAAGAAAAAGTCGAATATATTACTATTTTGAAAAAGATATTAAAATAATTACCTTTGTCGATGAATTTCAAAAGGTCAGACTCAATGTACTAATCAGCTGTTAAAAATTTTCTCTAATTCAATTATACACAAAAATGTCATAAAATATTGTTCAACCTAATTTAAACTTCTCAGGTCAAGTCTTTGATTAATTGGTATTTATTCTCCAACTTTTTTACACGATCACTAGAAATTATGTGAGTTGTGTAAAGATATAATTTATTCATTGTAACTTATTATGGTTGAAATATCAATCGTTACTTTTCAAAGCTAAGCATGTTCTTATACATAAACACCATTCACTCTTTGATACTCTCTATAATCTCATCATAGGTATAACTTTTACTAGGAATTTATTGTTGATTGATATCTGAAAATACTGTCGAGTATACATCTATTCATGACTAAGTTGAGTTTAATTTCAGCATTTTTATTGTCATTCAACGCCGTCAGATCTTACTTATTCCACTTATCCGTATTAATGCTGATTAAAGTAATCACTGTAAATATTATCTATAAAGAAAAAGAAAGGTTAGCAATAAAACTATTCAGCTCAGAGAGCTCAACAAAGCTACTAATTTCCCTCCAGTGTATTAAAAAAGCTAAAGAAAATTATTGGTGTGTATACATTTTAACTACGACTGACTCTCTGAAGATGATTCATTATACGTAACTCAGTATGGACATGTAGTTATTCATTCATAAAATTTGGTTGTCAAAAGAAGATGTAAATTTTCACAAATATATGATTCCAAGTATGATGCTACATTCTCTGGATAACACTATGCGTTCAAAGCACCATGGTTACGTAAAACTATTTACTAACCCTGTTCACACAGTTAAGATTTACACTGTTAACTGTGAATCCAAAAGACATTTTGTAAAAAGAGACATTATACCTTGTACTCCACCTAACGTACAAAGTAAAATGTAGGTGAAAATTAAATTTCCTAAACATACAGAAGTGACAAAAAAGCTAGGCACTATGAATAATGCATTAAATCAGCGTATAAGTTGAGGTCATAGTGTGTTTTGCTTCAAATGTTTAGAAAATGAGGCACATAGGTTAGTTTATACGATTTGATATAATAATACTGTAAAAATTAATAATATTTATATTTCAAAATCATCACAACTATCTAATATGAACATAAATAAATATCAGTATGAGAATTTGTGGAGGTTGTAGTATATTAACAGTCGAATTCACGAGTCGATCTAAGCTAGACCACCATTGAAAACCTTCAAGTAGTGAACAGTCATTTCGTCCAAGTATCAAGCTCCTCAGTAGTACAAATCCACGATCCTACACACACGAATCAAACTCACAAACTTCGGTCTCGCGCGCAAACGTTCAACTTCTAGATCACTGAACTGGTATCCAATGGTGTTCATGTCTAACTCCAATCGATCCATGATCTTTCACAACCCTTTACCTACCTTTCGAGATGGATAACTATCTCACATTTGAAACATATTGGTTTCCACTTATTATTGCTTCTCACTAGAGCTCCGGGAGTTACAGGTGCTTACTAGTGACTAGCTTTGTGTTTTACAATTTGTGTGATTTAAGATTTTTTCCAGTATAAAGTAAATTTAATCAACTACCAATCAAAGTATTTGATTTCATTTTATGAATAATATCAAATGGAAAAATCTAAATTTATATATTCTTAAACTACATGAATGGTGACAGTTAACCTCAATAGTAACGATAAAAATTACATCAACCAATTAAGAAGAAACGCATATCCATCTTATTTTTTGAATAATTCAATCATTACTAAGTGAATAATAATCATGCAATCATTCCCATTTCAATCAAAAGAAATATTCATATATTTTCACAATTGAACATCTATGCAATACTGTAAAACATTATCATCTTCATTATTCTAATGCATTCAATACTTTTAGTTTTAGTCGAAATTGTTTCTAGGTAATTAAAAAAAAACACACAAAAAACAAACAAACAACTATTAATTATACTAATGTGATTTTTTAAAAGTTTTTTTTGTTTTTTTATTTTCTCATATGAGTATTCAGCTGATTTATTCCTTTTTTTCTTACATTGTACGAAATCTAGATCATTAATGAAACGTCAAAAATAATTTCGTTTACTTTGTTTGTTTTTTTTTCTTTTTCAACACGCATGTCTTTTTTTGAAATAATTATTATCCATAATAACTGTAACTTTTAGTGAATTAATGAAAATTACTTAATTATTTCTTTTAATACAACTAATATATATATATATATATATATATATATATATATATATATATATTAGTTGTATAGATTGTTTCCTTATATATTTATGAAATGGAACGTTGTGCACAGTATTCATGAGTTACAAGGGATTAAGGATTTAAGCTAATTAATTATATAGATATACTTATAATTCATAAAACGTTCATTTATTGTTCATTGATTATGTATACCATTGTCCTAAACATTTTGTGATATACAGCTATAAACATGTGTTAGTAAACAGTTGCTTAAATATTTGAATGAAAGTTAACTTTATGTAAATATTGCTTGTTGTAGGGTTAATTTTTTACAGTTTGGAAATTTTAATATTAGTATAAGTGTTAAAACGTGTTAGATAATGTTAAGTCAACATTATTTATAGATTTATTTGTGAAAATAATAATAATGATTAATGACTAGTAACTAAATCCAAGAGATAATCTTTGGAGTTCTAGTGAGAAGCAATAATAAGTGGAAACCAATATGTTTCAAATGTGAGATAGTTATCCATCTCGAAAGATAGGTATAGGGTTGTGAAAGATCATGGATCGATTGGAGTTAGACATGAACACCATTGGATACCAGTTCAGTGATCTAGAAGTTGAACGTTTGCGCGCGAGACCGAAGTTTGTGAGTTTGATTCGTGTGTGTAGGATCGTGGATTTGTACTACTGAGGAGCTTGATACTTGGACGAAATGACTGTTCACTACTTGAAGGTTTTCAATGGTGGTCTAACATTGGTTAGAACATGATCTCAATTAAAACAGCAATATATCCACTTCAGTGACAAAATGTTGTATTCAGCACACACTTATTTATTCATGACTAATTTAGTACACTTTCAAATTATTTTTGGAACGTTCTGATTCACATGTGATTGTTGTTACCGTTGGAACACTAAATAAAGCGTTTAGTAATTCTAAACAAGTTTTCATGTGAATGTTTCAGTTTTATTTGTGGGATTTCTGTTAAAATTTATTTATTTATTTATTTATTAAAGTCAGTTGAACAACAAAACTACCGAATTATTATTAATAGTTAAATTATGTTTACGATTATTTTAATAAGGAAAACTGAAAGTGGTGGATCATGTTGTCTAACTCATCGTTTATAATATTTTTATCTGTGTAATTTTTTATTTTATATAATATCATATCAAGAAACGAAATCTAAAACAAAATACCATTTACCTCAGTTTATTATCTGATAGTTCTGCTACTTACTAAGTTATGTAATGTAGTTTAGGTATGGTTTACAATGCGTCATTGAAACTAGTTTTACTTCGAATATGTAAATCCAGACTTTTCTGAGTTGCAGATTTTCAAGAACATATTGTGGTCAATTGTAATTGCCTATGCGCGACTGCTAGCATCCCGTGGCATCACCGTGCTAGTAACGAAGAGGTGTTGTGTTCGAATACGGTGACGATAATTCAATTGAAGTCATCATTTTGAAGTGTTTTGGACATATATTAGCAGTGTCATTCTAGCCGTCTCCGCAATATGGGTTACTAGCTGACATTGAAACTAGAAGAAAAATGCAGAGTGATGGTGTAGTGTCTTGTATTAATTATGCCTTTCTCCTGAGGGTTATTCTAGCTTTCGTACAGACCCGTTTATTTATTCTTCTAGAATAACATCTTGATCTTCTCAACTATCCGCATATAAGTTTGGCACTTTTTATATGAGTGTATGTGCATGTATCGTTTACCACATTCAAAACATGCCTTTAGCTTATTATTTTCTGTCTATAAATACTTAATCGCATTATCAAACAAGTTAGCACACTTGCCTTCTCTGGCCTGCCTTTTTGTTTCGCTTCCTTGCTTTTCTTTGCGAATGTCTGTCCTGAAATAAATCCATATAACTCAAACCGTTCCTGGCTTTTTTTACCACTCTCGCAAACAAAGGGTTAACTTAGATGTAATGTACTGAGCTAAAAGGGTGATTTCTGTTCATAGCATGTTTATAACTTTACCCAAGTTGGTGCCAGATGAGAGTGCTAAAATGTTGTTACCTCTACGCGCACATGTTGTACGTTTTAACGGTACAATACCGATTCCAAAATTCAACAGGCCACTAACGTAGTCAGTTTAACATAATGTTTTTATTTGAAATCTAAACAGGGCTGGAAGCTGCTTGTCAAGCCCAATGACTGGATTAAAATCCTGGAAGAGATCAAACCCAGTGGATCAACGGTTCGTCATATATTGCTCAGAATAGAAGCTAATGATAATTCTACAGCAGTTCATGTTTATATTTTCCATAAAAATTCAATTATCTTGCTGGACTAAAAGAAACCTTCCATGATGATATTTGTAACCAAAGTTTATCTCGTATTATGTATCATTCTCATTCACTTTTTCATTCACTGTTCTCTCTTTCCTTTCTTTATAGCCTTATCTTTGCAACTTTACTTTATTTGGCACCTACTATTTCTGATATCCAGTTGATTAAAAGTTTATGTGAAGTATTTTCATGTTTAAAACTAATATCATGACAATAAAACTTCCCTTCAGTGTAATTTATTCAATAAAACGTGTTTAACGTGATATATACATACGACTGATTAATCCATGCCACATTTTTTTTTAATTTATGTTATGTTTAGACATTTACAGTGAATGTTATATAGCCGTATCTCTTTCTGTTATATGTCATGTGATGGAAACTTTCTTATTTATTTATTGTCTAAATCTT